CCAAGTCAGGAGTCTGTAATTCAGTGGTTGTCGTTTGTTCATGTATATCATATTTGTATTTCGTTTATTGTTTTTTTACATAAATCAGGCCTTTAGTTTTCTCGTTTGAATTGTTTTACAAATTTCATTTCGGAGCTATTAATAGCTGTCTATGCGGTATGGGTTTTGCTCATTGTTGGAGGCCGTACGGTGACCTATTGTTAACTTCTATGTCATTTGATCTCTAGTTGAGAAGTATCTCATTGGCAATTATACCACACCTTCTTATTTGTATATTTATACGTTAAACGTGTCTGTCTAGTACAACGCAGGGTTAATATTCATAATATATTTACATGTTCCTGTCCTTAAATGCATTTAATTTGCCGCTGGACGTTAGGCAGCCATCCATTATCATCATTTATTTTACCGTTACTATATAGTGAAGTGTTTTTCTCTTACTGGTTTATATTACACCTTCTTTGATATCCACCGATTCAATTGAAAAGGACAGGTGATATTTTACAACCACACACTTGTGTATGTTTGGATATCTTGACGGTAAATAATATAAAATTAACTCCGTATTTTTAATCATGGGGCGGTTTTGAGCTTATTATTCTGTATAGTTATCTTTATATTACAAAAGACTCTATGTTGATTCTTAATGTTTTGATTTATATGTGTCGTTGGATTGCTGTCGCATTAATGTATATCGTTTTCACTCCTTTTATTCAAAACCAAAGGATTGACTTGGGTATAGAAATATGGACATCTCATCCAACAGTAAACACTTGCTAAAAGAGTGCGTCCGTTTTGCTCTGCGGATGTATGAATACGACGCTACGTCCGGTAAAAATAGATATGTCGTATATCAGATACCTCGTGTAGAGAGAGAGTTTCAAGCTTTCTATACATTAAAGAACCATTTGAATAACTCTTTGAGGGGGAAATGCGATCTACGCACAAGTTAAATGATTGAAATCTTTAAACAACAAGAAAGGTCAGCTAAATCTTCAAATAAGTCGCATGGCTGATTTTAACACATTTGTTTGCGCCTTTTGCAAAGACAAATGAAGATGAAGAAAAACTTTAAATAACAAAACCGACGAGTAAGACAATATCTAGAAAATAAATGAAACAGCCAAAATAAGTTGAATCCTTATATAAATTGTTGCCCTTTAAAACATGTTTTTATCCATTTTTGCTTTTATGACAACTATACCAGATAAAAATAACTTGAAACAACAAATTTTGTTACCTAGGCAAGACTGCCATCGTTGTACGCTTCAATATATGAGTTATTCCCACTTAATGAAGATTTGTTTTCTGTTCTACTCCTCTCCTAGTTTGGCTTGATAGGATACAATGTAAACCCTGATGTGGACTACTTTATTTAATGTTAAAATTAAATGGAAAGATAAAAATGAGGAAAGAAATTATAAAATTTACGTTTATTGCAGATCTTCTTGCTATTGGTGGAAAAAAATCTAAAATAAAATCATGAAAATCATAAAACATCCAAAGTCCTTACACTATTTAATTATGATTCCATTCTTGTTCTTCAAACATCATATTATAATTCAATCCCATTGTTTGTCGCCCCTTTACCGTCGACATTTGTCTTTTAGGATTGGTACAATTGAAAATTCGAACTAAAGTTAACATTTATTGAGTTGTTTGTAATATTCAGCTGAATGTTTAGTTACCACCATAAATCTTTTATTGCAGATAAAACCGAATCGATTTGCAAAAAATATTCGACGTATTCTTCATATGTAGCATCCCCTATTATAGACGTTTTCAAACCTATCCATGTAAAATTCAAATTCAAAAATGTCATTTCTATTGAAATCCACGCTTAAAAATTCAAATATATAAAAATTGGAAAACGATTTGAGATAATTATGAACGGAAGACTGATGATTATACATCACTTAATGAAGCTGATTAATTTATGTCTCCCTTAACGTCCAGTGGCAGATATGTCATGCATATTCACGACGAGATGCAAAGTTGATCGACCTGAAGCAAATGTTAACAATGTTAGAGTGACACTTTAATAAGACAGCGCGTTGGCTAGAGGTAAAACGTATGCCGTAATAGAATAAAGTTGAACCATGATCAAAATCGCAAGTTAAGCTATTAGCCCCCCTCCCTTTTCTTTTTTCGGACAGGTTTGTATTTCCACTCAAATACCGTCTGATTATTGACCGGAGATAATCAGCAAAAAGCACTTTAATTCTCTGAAATTGTTAATTATGGTATTTGGCTGGTTGTTTTTTCCCGATCTATTTTGGACCCCCTGATTCTAAAGGGCGTGTCTAATTAGTCATGCCCAATTAACGTTTAGTAAATAGAACCTCAACTTAAAGACCTACACCGGGTTAATAAGTTCGAGGTACAATAAGTAAACAAAAAAGATCCTTAAGTTTATGAAATGAGAACGTCCTACATGTAGGTATCTTAGAGAATTATTTTGTGTGGAATAACAATGAAAAATGCAAGAACAGGTTTGTAAAAAGCTTTATATATTTTTAAGCATCACAGTCTTTAGTTTCCTATGTTGTGTTTTGTGTACTGTTGTTTGTCATTTTGGTCTTTTTCACTTTTTTGTTTTGACATGGCGTTGTCAGTTTATTTTCGACTGATGAGTTTGAATGTCTTTTTGATATCTTTTGCTCTCTCTTTTGTTATTAAATATTGGATATGTTTTTTACCCCAACCTTTGAAGGTAATACATAATCCAGTTATTTGCACTAAAATGCACAAATCATTATTTGCTCATTTCAGTCAAGATGTGAGTTTCTGAGACAAATACATCAACAGTTAGTCTTAACAAATAGACCAAGAATTCTGAAGCGAGATGATATTCTCATTTTTGTATTGTTTTTATAAGTTTTAAGTTTGAAAAAAACACGGTTCAAGAGTTCAAAAAAAAAATCCTTAAAGATAGCAGTTAAGTTTGTATACCGTAAGCAGGAGTGGTCTACGTAAGACTCTTCAGTTACGCTCGAATCAAGCCAGTTGGAAGGCCAAATAAAATATGATGTTGGAGAGGATTTAAAACAAAACATAGAAAACTAAAGACTGAGCAACATGAACCCCAACAAATACTGGGATTGATCTCAGGTACGTTTTCATCGTTCCGTCGAATTTTATGAAATATATATTTACGAGAATGCGTCATGAAGATAAACAAGTACTATAACAGTTTACCAAAAAAAAAAAAAACAAAAAAACAAAAATTGAAAACAACACATTATAAATTTCATGCACCCGAAGCGTTTTTTTCTGCATTTACCTTTGCCTGAGGGAGTTGAAACCTTAGTTTCAAATAATTATAAAAGGAGTAGGGGCGATAATGCCCTTGTTTGGCCAAAATATTACTGCAAATTAAAAAGTTATTATACATATTCTTAAATATTTCCTAACTAGACTACAGTACAAGGTATTCGGAAAATAAAAAAACAAATTCTACATTTCACGAGTTACCATGGCAACAAACCATGCCGAAATTTGTATATTTTGTAAAATTTCTGTATTTTCCTTGTTTTTTTGTCAAATTTAAGTACATTTTAGATAAGCAAAGTATGTACGCACCCAATAAACAACTTAAACTTAGTTTATATTTGATGATATTATGTCAACAATCATAAAAAAGCTTCTCTTAAATTGTTTTGTTGTTTCTTGGCTGCGCACGATGTTTCCGCAATAGAAATAACGATGGAAAACTGCACAAGTTTTGTATTTTTCATCGTTTTCATGAAAACGGTACATATAATGACGTAAATGTGACGTCATCAGATAAAAAGATCTGATGTTTTTCATTTATATTTCTTGACTCTATGTATTACCAAACATTATGTGCCAATTTGGAATGGTTGTCAAACAATTTATTTTCTTGGGCCAAAAACCGGGCCTTAATGCCCCTACCCCTTTTTTAACGGACACTTTTAGAAAGGTTTGTTATAATTTGTATCAGTACCGAAGTACATTTTTGTACTGACTACTGAGCTGAGAATACCCTCGGGGACTGATAGTACACCAGCAGAGGTATTGACCCAGTGCTGTAAAAAAAATGAAAACAACACGTTATAAATTTCATGCGTCCGAAGTACTTTTCTGGATTTACCTTCATCAGGAACGCTCAAAGCCGAATAATTGAAAGCCTAGTATGTATAAGAACCTAAAAAGTAAATAAATTATTATATCACTTCTTTGTGTGCATGCAGGGTTGTAAGAAATATGAAATAGTGTACGCTTTACTTAGACCTGTATATATAAAACTAAAATATTCGGAAAACAGAATACAGGTATGTGTCTATATCTCAAAACTATATATAAATTTATACTAACTCATTGTTCTACGTTTTTTTCTGTAAGATTTGAAAGGGGTCCCAAAATGTTATTTTTGTGTTTAAAATTTATCAAGACATGTTTCGAGGTTTACTAACTAAAATGTGTGATTTAACTTCACTACATTGAAGTAATGGACTATAGAGAGTCATCATGAAGTTTCCCGAATGCCTTCTTACTTTTCTTTGAAAAACCTAAACCAGTAAACAAAACAGATGTTGGTTTTTTTTTGGCAGTACGCGAAAAAGACATTGTCGATGTAAAACAAAATGTGAGTGAAATTGTTGAACATTTTGTGACTTTTGTTCTAAAACTTGTATATCATTAATAATAATTTGGAAGTTTGATACAATTTAATTTTACTAAAAAAAAAAATAAATAAACAGGCCAATTCACGTTGAAAAAAACCAAGCTCATCCAGATACTGTGCATGCCTACTGTATACATCCTTTGTCATTTGCTATCTGGATAATAGTTACATAATATATATTATTTAAGTTGTTAGATTATTTATATAGCGGCTGCAAAAAATAAAAGACCTGATAAAATATGTTTACTTTTCCTTATTCACATTTTGCTTTGTATGATTATAGAGCATGTAGAACTCTAACCCTACGTAATTTCCTATGCAAACATTTAAACCGCTTTCAGAATTCTGACATGTGACGTATCTAAACTAATTTACACAACAATGGCGTCTGTCAAAACAAAATTATTGTTAACCGCTATAGACAAACATCTGGATATCTGAATTATTTCAAACATGGTATGTACTGTTTACTTTTGTAAATTCCGTCTTTTCAACTGTAGCGTTATTATGCATGAAAATGTGTAAATAGGAACATCTGTATAATACTAACTTCCATTTATCTTTATTTATGTATATACTTTTTAGTCTTCCAGGTAGGTTTGTTATATTTTTGGATATCAAAGCTATAGGCGCCGGACATGGTGCAGGCGGTGTTGCCACGATGTCACAGATGCTAGGGTTCGAATCCCGCTGAGGGAAGAACACAAATTTGCTAACGCAAATTTGCAGATCTAACACTGTTGGGCTAAATTTGAGACGAATTATATATATCAACCTTGATTGTATAAGGGAGAACGTGTGCACGATTACACGTATTTTTGATAATGCCAGATTTTCTTCAAGGTACCCTTATTTAAATCTAGAATCAATAGACAACAACATATTTGTTTCAACTTGTTTGACTTTGCATGACGTATATTTTTTAAAAATATCTATAGTACTGTAATGTATATATAAAAAAAAACCTTATATATGTTTAAAATGTTTAAATGGAAACTGAGTTGCATCATAGACACTAAACAGACACTAATTATCGAAATGCGTTTCGCTTCATTTATAGTAAAATAAGAACTGTAATTGTAAATATTAAAAACCTACTCATTGAAACATCTCCTATTCGTACATTCATGAAAGTATATAGTTATTAACTAATCACAACGTTTTCTCTGACTTTTAAAGTACTTCCACAACGATACTTTAAATTTTGAATAATTGTTTAAAATAGTGAATCAAACTTTTATTTATTCCTTTTTATCATTACAGTGTTCACAAAAGAGGGATTGTCTTCTATATTGATCAGATATCAATTTTATTTGTATTGTACATGTTTTATAAAACAAACTTCCCACTAACTTTTGTTCGAATAAGAAAATGCATAGTGAGAGTCGTCGTAGCTTTTTGTGAAAGATGCACATATATTAAATACACGTATACAAGTTCTCTTTTGTGTCAATAACCATACATTTAAAGGTACAGTAAAGATACGCATAATTAACAACGAGTGCAAAATGACAAGATTGAAACATATCATAGGTGGAATTTACCTAAGAAGTAGAATTTTATTTAAATATTAAAATCAAATTCCAGTTAAATTAAAAATAAATGTACTTCTATTACTCATGAAATTTCCCCTGTTTAGAAAATATTTAAATTAATATAAGTATACAAGTTTCTGGTACAAGATATAAAGTAAAAAGTTTAATTTGTAGTTGACTGATGACATACTCAACAAATACAGGATGCCTGTAGTGGTTTTGACAAGTGGTAGCAATATAAAAGTCATATATATATATATATTTGATGAAAACATGTATACAGCTAAAATTATTTACTCCGCTTAGATAACAATTTGTTAAGAACAATTCAGAGTGTTAAAAATATGCTGAGACAAAATCAGAATGTTAGTAATCAGATCCGATAATTCGGAATGTCAAGAATCTATTGCGAAAACGTCAGATATTATTCATAGTTTTCAGAAAATTAAAACTAAATTCATACAAATTCAAACAAACTTTGGTTATTTCGAATCTCATGCCTTCGGAAGTGTCCGGAGGGATAACACATATATTTTTCTACCTGCAAAAGAAACGTTTAGAATTGAATTACTATATAATGATTGTTGTTTGGTAGTTTTTCTTGTGTATTCTATTGTAGTTGTTGTCAGGAATATTGTGCATAAAATAATTTAGGTTACCCTAACGGTTTTCTGAAAAAAGTTTCGTTTTTCACTGATTTTTTACATTTCTTGGTGTCAGTCAAAATGAAATATCAAACATACCTAACTGTGTCTGTGGTATTTTAAAGTGCAAGGAATATACCAGGTCATCATGATGATCACCAAACGAAGAATTGTTCAGGCAGTGATCTTAATATAGCAGAACCTTTAAAGGTTACCTTGTTAAAGTGTAATGTTTGCTTCGTTTTGCTTTCGTATGTACAATGTCTCTCAAACGAATTAATCTGGTGTTGAGAAGAGTAGCACGGTTGTTTCCAATAGACGTGGCTAATTTGTTTTGAATAAACGTCCACTACTTAGTATCACTTAAGTTGTGAATCAAGATATCAAGCATAGTGAAGTTCGATTTGTCTTCCGAAAACAAGAATAACGAATAAAATGTTTAGATTAAAAAAAACATACTCCAGTGGTAAAGTTGTAGATATAAAATGGTATATGCTATCGAACAACATGAACAAGGAAATATTATTCACATATCTCACATATAAAGTAGTTTTATTGCAATCCCGAGGCTCAATTCAATTTCTTAATGAGTAGATAAATCAAATTGATACACTTTTTATCTTTTTACTGGTTAATTAGCATATAAAATGATAACCTGCACTAGTATTTGGATGCAAAACACTTTACTCTTTTTAGATAAGCAGCAATAACGACTGTGATTAAAAATATAACGAAGAAAGCAACATTGAATTTAAACTTCACCAATGACATCTGTACAGGAAAGAAAATATCTACGTCTTATAAAGTTATCGTATGACTTATCGCTTAATGTTACTCGAGCATTTATAAAATCGAGTATTCTTTGTAATTATGACAATTATTTGTCTAATTTCCTAACAACAAATAAGCATACAATATATCATTTATGGATACATTCTACTAGGTGTTGTGAATGCAACGCTTTACCACAGAGATCTAATAGGGAGCTAAATCAAGAACAAATCAGTAAATGCTATAATTTGAATGGACCAACAACGTCTGGCCACTTTTTACGTGGTCAGAGTAATATAAAACAACACTGCATTTGTAAGGTAACACCCAAGTCACATTGTTCGCTGAAGGACCTTGATTTTACTCTTCTTCATACTATGTTTAGACATTCTGTTACACTTTCGACAAGTGTTCAAAACTGGCTTACGGTCATAAAAAAAATACGAAATAAGCTGGCACATGTGCACAGTACGAGCAATTTCGACACTGGAAGATTAGAAAAATGGTGGACAAAATTAGAAGGGTCTGTGATAGGTTTAGCAGGAGAAATACCACTTGAGTACTATCTGGATGCAATCCAAGGACAAATAAGCCTTCTGAAGAATGCCGATTTTGATATTATGGAGAAAAATGAAATTTTAGACTTGATAAAGCATGTTAAGTCAGATATGGCAACGGTAAGTAATTTTACTTGTTTTGAAACGCTTGTCCCTCACAATAATTATAATGTAATTATTTTTCAAGGTTTAATCGGTTAAATTTAAGATGCTTTTTGATATTAAGGAGTAATTTTGTGCTCTTTTTACGTTCATTTTTTCTGTATTTTGGGTTGTTCTCCAAACACAATATTATCATTTTTAATGGGTTTAAATTTCATCAAAATGAAATTTTTTTTTGAAAAAAGAAAATTAAAGTATTCTTGTTATTGTATTCATTTAAATAGATCATTTATTGTAGTTTTGTTTAGTCGCTGTTAGTCTTGCTTTTATATCTGATTTTTGATTGTCGTATTTTTATTCAGAATAGAATATTGCTCGAAAAAATATCCTTAACCTTAGTATGTGAATATTTTCTTTCGCATTTTATTTTCACCATGAGTGTTATGATTTGAATACAATTAATATTATATAAGTAATGATCAAAGATCTATATATAAATAAAAACAAAAACACACGAATGATGTAAAGTTGTTTTATATCGCGTTAATAATTTAATCGCAAAAATAAGAAAAAAACCTTGCAAAGGTTTTACACTCTACAGTATCTGCTTATTTTTTTGAGTAAGAATCACTCATAACCCAATTCTGAAAATGTTTACATTTCTAAAATAACCCCCTCTGGGTATACAAGATACAATTTTGCCTGAATTAATCGCAACCTAAGACTACTAACGACAACATTATTAATGATATGATATGTACTTGATAAATTGTATGCATATATTGGTGATTTTGAATCTGTTCAAAGTTTTGATTTTTCTACCCTATATACCACTTTGCCTCATATTCTTATTAGGAAAAAATTCACACACCTAATTAAATGGGCATTTAAAAAGTCGGAATGCGAATACATATGTTCAAACTCTTTTAGATCATTTTTTAGTTGCAACAAACAAACGAACTATGTCAATTGGACATGCTTTGATACTATATCTGCCCTTGAATTTTTACCTGAAAACATTTTGTTCGCTTTGGAGATTTCGTATATCGTCAAGTTATCGGAATTCCAATGGGGACTAACTGTGCACCACTTATTGCGGACCTGTTTTTGTATTGTTATGAGTTACAATTTTTTTCTAAAATCAGCAAAGACCCATCGAAACAACATCTGATACAAACATTTAACAATACTTTTAGATAGTTGGATGATATATTGGCTCTCAATAATGACGATTTCAGTATGTATACTACAGAAATTTATCCTATTGAACTTTCTTTAAATAAAGCCAATACTAACAATGACCACTGTCCTTTCCTCGATCTTGATATCTATATCATTAACGGGAAGATTAATACAAAAATTTATGATAAAAGAGATGATTTTTTATTTCCTATCGTTAATTATCCATTTTTAGACGGTGACGTTCCCTTGTCACCATTTTATGGTGTTTATATATCTCAACTTGTACGATTCGCTCGTGTATGTAACAACGTATTAGATTTTAGCGAGAGAAATTTATGTATTACTGATAAATTTTTACACCAGGGTTTTCGATATCATAAACTATTCAAAACATTTACTAAATTTTATCATCGGTATAAGGACATCATTCGTAAATATAACTCAACATGCAGACATCTTATACGTTCGGGTATTTCACATCCAATCTTTTATGGTAATATTCTTTACAAAGCACAAAAATGTCAGTATTCACCTCAAAAGCTAATAAAATCTTTAAACAGACTTATTAAGAAGGGATATAATTACGATGCTGTTGTCAGGTCATTAAAGATTGGATATTTTGGCTTTAATATTGATTCACTTATAGTGTCTTTGCATCGGAATTAAACACATTTATTCTAAAACCAGTTGTTGGCATGACACGGGTTATGTTCTTCTTTTATATTTTATGATGGTATAATACTAAACCCCTAACAGGAGGGATTGTGCCTGATATTCATATGATGAAGACATACTCTTTCAATCAATTTAATTGAGGTCTGGAGCTGGCATGTCAGTAACTGCTAGTAGTTTGTTGTTATTTATGTTTTATTGTCATTTTGTTTATTACTTTTGTTTCCCATTCTGACATCGGACTCGGACTTCTCTTAAACTGAGTTTTACTGTGCGTACTGTTGTGCGTTTGTTTTGTCTACATTGGCTAGAGGTATTGGGGAAGGGTTGAGATCTCAAAAAAACATGTTTAACCCCGCCGCATTTTAGCACCTGTCCCAAGTCAGGAGCCTCTGGCCTTTGTTAGTCTTGTATCATTTTTAATTTTAGTTTCTTGTGTATAATTTGGAGTTTAGTATGACGTCCATTATCACTGAACTAGTATACATATTTGTTTATGGGCCAGCTGAAGGACGTCTCCGGGTGCGGGAGTTTCTCGCTGCATTGAAGACCCATTGTTGGCCTTCGGCTGTTGTCTGTTCTATGGTCGGGTTGTTGTCTCTTTGACACATTCCCCATTTCTATTCTCAATTGTATTTAAATTGAAGGATTTTTGTGCACTTATGTAAACAAAATATTCTAAACCACAAATTTATAGCAAAACAAGGAGCTCGGTTAATAAGATTTGAATGGATGACATGGCATTGCTAGCAGTTCATCGATTAGTTATATAATTATTTAGAAAAATTAATAGCTCTATGTTTTCCATTTATTTTATCATGTTTATTATATTACACAATGTATTAATAGTACTTACTGTATTCCTTAATCTAATTAAATCTTATTGAAACTTTTCTTTTGTCTTCTTTTTTTTTTTAATTTTTTTTCCATGTACTTTTTTTAGATTGAGACAAAAATAGACGACATTCTACGAGGTCAAACTGAACTTGTAGATCAAATGGCAGAAATTGTTGATGAGGCAAAGCGCGACATTGTGTGTAAACAGAGGACAGAGTCAGTTTTGTTACAAGACAAAATCTTGGATGTATACGTAAGTTCTTGTGCAGACACAAAACTTCAAATTAGTTCGTTAGAAGGACTACAAAGATCACAAATTGAGAAAATTAAACAATTTCAAGAGGAAACCTCGGAAAATCTTAAGAAAGCAATGCTTGACGCAGTGGACAAAAGAATAGGTAATATCCTTAATATATGCTTTATCATGTATATAGTGTCTAAACTACTGTCAAGTAAACAACAAATCAAATGTTTTTTTAAAATTAATATGCGTTTGTTCAGAGAAAATATAAAGATCTTTCCACCTTCCATTCCTCAAACATTTCCCGTTCTTTTTTCGTCGATCGTGACATTATCTAATACGACGTATAACTGTTTGTGCTCTTGCAATGAGTAACACGGCTGGTGCCTTGAGAAAGCCAGAAGTGAAAACCCTTCCGGAGGACCAGACCTCAGTCTCGATTTTTTGCAGGATTTATGTTATTCAGTTTTTGGTCGTTGTGTAGAGATTTTAGTATTGTTGTATGTCTTTTTGTCGTTTTGACAGGGGTGTTGTCCTTTCTATTGTTTGTTGCCCCTTTAAAGATTAAATCGCTCTCTCTTTTCAGTTATAGTTTGCAAAAAGTTCTGGTTGGACACGTGTCAATTGAGATACACTGAAGATCTTACCAAATATATCGTTCAAATTATATAAACAATCATCAAGAACAACTTTTCAGTTTAAAAACCATCTTCATTGTCAGAAGATTCATTATTTCACATTGACTCCCCAACTGTCTGTACTACTTGTATTCGACGGGTAGCTAGTTTCTTCTGGTTCACTAAAATCCACCTCCGTGGTCGACGGGTATATAACTGTACACTGATTCAAAAGACATTTTCCATGTTCTTTTAATCTTTTTTATCACTTCACGTACACATTGATGTAGTTATATTGATTACTTTTTTCTACATTGTTAGCTACATCCTCATGATGGTTAAACACTTTTTTACAGAAATAGATCTTGTGTTGTCATACAAGAGTTATATTCCTTTTTTTCCATTTGAAGTAAATGGTATGTCAGTAAACCTACGCATAAACCGTACATCTAGAGACCTAAAGTCTAGAGTAAGGATATCCTTGGTTTATAATGGTATAAGCAGAACATTACGATGAAGATATATATCCTGAAATTGGCATTGTATACTGTTCCTTAGGAATCGTCACAATTAAAACATACAGTTTGTTGTCAAATTGTTTGTTACGACATTATCGTACTTCAATACATTATGGGTGAAGTGGTGAAGTGACTTTTTATTGAAGTTTTCAGAAAATCCAGACAAACAGTAGATATTTTCATTATGATAGTTAAATATTTACTCTAATTCATTTTAATTTACAAAATAGGATATGTTATTCATCTCATAAACATAAAGAACAAGACACCAGCAACCATTTATATTTGAAGGTGATTTTTTGTTGAAAATAAGAAATATAAAAATAAAATTCTGCTTCTGCAGTATGTTACATGTAACATTTGAAATATGTGTTCATACAAAAAGGATAAGGATGTTAAAACCTCAGGTTTCAATAATGAGCAAAACTCATACAGAAAAGTCAGCTATAAGAGGCTTCAAAGAGATAAAATTTACAACAAAAGGGTGGTAAAGCACACATAGGACAATTTTGTTGAAAAGGACTTGATTCATTACATCGGTGCTAAGCACAACTGAACAACAAATGAATTCTTTAAATACACGATGTATCAGATTGTTCAATTTAATTGGAAAAAAATACAATCTGCAATTTAAACTTAAAATGGATAGTTGTTTACCCATGGTTGTTCAGTGTTGAAGAAATACACTACGCATACTGTGTATTCATTAGTATTTGCGGTATACATGGTATATCCGTTTTCTTGAATTTATTTGGTATAGGTAAACCACGAATTTAAATGTTCAACGAATTACACATTTTCTATAAGTTTGTGTGCAAACGTTTGCAAAATCACGAATTCAAGTAACCACGAAAATTGGTACCTACAAAAAAAAAATGTTTCTACAGTATTTAGAAATATTTACACGTATAGTGACAGCTTTACAGATTTTGTTGTTTTTTATGTGTTGTTACTCATCTTTTGTTTTGTTTTTTTGTTGTTTTGATTTAGGAGGTCGGACAAATGGCTACATTGAAGAACGAATAATGCATTATTAAACAATACGTTTTTCTTTATTTTAGAAAAAATCATTAAACGAGTTGGAAACTTGATATTCTTGATAGCTTGTTATAAAGTCGACAATAACGCATTTACTGAAACAGACCAGCATAGTAAATCAAAGGAAGCATTACCAATACATTCACCAGGTTCAATATGTTTGTTGTTGTTGACATTTCTGCTAAAGTAATAAAAAAATGCATTTAACTATACATGATTTCAGAACAAACGAATTATCCTGATACACATTATTGCTAGTTTAATCATTATTAATAGTATGTGTTTTGAAATTGATATTAACGAACTTAAAACAATTATTATCATTTAGAAACCTTTCACCATTAATTTGTGTATGAAATAAATATTTTTCTTTAATAACGTATTTAATAACTCGAATTGTCTATATAAATGTCGTACAGGAACGTTCTTAAAGTAGGCAATCTTAATTATATAGTCCAAGGCATCCCACTATAAGTGTTATAAAAACACAATGTACATATACAGAGAAATTGCAACACAGGAAGAACGTTGATTTTCTCTCGTTTATTCGATTCCTTACGGTATACGAACATGTTTCTATTTGATATTATATCGGATTTGAACCGTCATGAAAATAGTCTAATTCCGATGAATTGGTCAAACCTTCTGGTAATATGAACACCCCTCGACCTGTTGAAAATGTGTTCAATTTGGAAAGGTTTTGCATTTCTGACTGTATTGTATTATAACAAAATAAATTGAAGTTGTATTGCCTGTTATAAGAAAATATATAAGACACCGAAAAATCAAAACATGCAAAACTATAGGAAATTGATGATTTGAATCTAGTTATGTATAGTCGAAGGGGTCACATATGTTTTATCTAGCAGTATACTCCGTCCAGGTGTGTCTTACATTGCAAGGATCGGAGAAAGTAATGATTTTGATAAGTGCGGAGGAGATATTTCTTAGATTGATTTAATACACTATTTAGGAACAATGAGAGAAAACGCTATACGCTCTTCACATAAGCGACATATCTTCTCACAATATAACTTCCACTTTGTTCTTTTATGTTTATCATTAAGAGTATATATTTTATGAGTAGCTGTCAAATGTTAAACCCGTTATTTGTTAAAACAGAAACAAAAGAAACCCAGTCTGAAGCAGCTTCAACAAACACAGGAGCTGCGATGAATATAGAAAATACCAAATGCTGTCTCTCTGGAATAGAACACAAAAATGGTATTGTATTGTGCATTTATACTCTTTATCAATACATCTTGACAGCCTACCATATTATGCGTCAAAATCAATTATAATACACTATGATGGTTGCAAAATGAAAGTCCGTTGAACTGTAACAAAACTTAAAAATGCCACTAAAAAGAAACCTTGGGATTACAATTCTTTCATCTGAAACACAATAAGTTAAATGTGTAGCTAATTCTACCACGTAAACTAAGCATCAATAACATGGCTAAGTGTGTACTATATCACTAAAATGACATATCACAAAAAAATTAACCGTACAAGTCTATTAAGGAAACACATTAATATAAAAAGAAAAACCTAAATATTCCAAATGGAAATTTTATATTATGCAGCAGTGCCATATTGAAATTTGAAATCGTTTAATACGATTGTTCTTTCTTCCGAAATCGTTGTTTGATTTTCTAAATAACGTTTCATTTATCTGAAAGCAAAAATTTATATTGAGTTATGGAATGCAATTCATATAAATATATGGTAAAAAGAAAATCTTGCATTAACTAATCGTTGTAGTTTGCAAGGTTGAGTGGAAAATTGTTACTCCAGGAAACTGGGATGCGGAAAGGATTGCACGTGCATTAAATAAAGTTGCCGCCTTGTTGGAAGAGGTTTTTCAGATTGAATTCGTTATGTTAGGATCGTTGATTATCAAAACTAGTGTTCCTTTAAAAAATAATACAGAGCACGGAATTATTAGCTGAAGCAGTAGAGTCTTTTCTGAAAAATATATTGGAGAAATGCAGTATTGATACGAAAGAATGTAATGCTATTCCAGTATTTTTAACTTGTAGTGGTAAGATTATTTTACCTATTCTTCTCAAGCATGGTCCAGGTGTGGCTTTCTATTTTTGTCCCTTTTGGTTTTACCAACTCTTTAACGTTTGTTTTTGACTTAAGATTTTCCAGTATTAATTTCAAGCATCTCTGAAGAGACATTAATTGTCCAAATGAGCATCTGGTGCGGTCAAATAGGTACCGTTAGTGTTATAGGTCAAATAATGCATTTTGTAATTTTTTTTAAATGTTACGAAAATTTTGATTCCATTTTTTCAATTAACTTGACTAATGTATCTATTACGAAAAAAAAAGCCAAAGAAATAAACATTTGAAACGGTCAGTGAATATTTAATAACTTTTATTCGTTTCATAATCCTTTTCTATTCTCTTGTTAGTGAGCGGTGATACACCAATAAGCGTAGCAACACAGACAGATAAATGTGAAAATTGCTTAAAGCTGAAAACAGATAACAATGTGCTGACGGAACTGGTGGATGATTGGTATAAAACAATAACTGAAATTTCTGGAGGTACTTACTAGTAGTTATACATTAGTTTAATAGCATTTCTTTGAATCAAATGTATGTTTTACCCTGAGGATAAGCAAACGGAATTATCGTCAAATGACTTAAGTAATGTTCAGACATTTTCATCAAAATACCCTACTATCTGAAACTCTGAAATGCATTTGGCGGGAACAGTAGCGTGCTGTATAACACTTTCGTGATCATAATTTGATGTTATTGTAATTATCCTAATAATAATGGTAAAGTTCCCATAAGGCCAGCTAGCATCGCCAAATCTTAATGCCAATATCTTTAGAATGACTAAAAAGGACCGCATCAATCATTTCAAGATTGAGAGTTGTTTTTTCTAAGAGTCAGAAGAGTTGGGTTTTAAGATGTTATCTTAATAATTGATTCAAGTAAATTGTCAAAATCCAATGATTCTAACAAATTTTGCCCAATCATATAAATAATTGTTTACTACTCAGATGAAAAAGAATCTTCTTCCCCCTACAGCAAGCACGTTCTCATTACATTCTGACAAATGTAGCCTAACGGGCTTAAACTGTGTGAAAACGGGGTAGGCGTAGTTTCATCTTTTAACGGTCTGTTTACAATAGAGAGGCGAAAGTTACCAAAGGGACTTACAACGTCATGGCTAAAAAAGAAACAAACAACATACACAGACAAACAATAGTACACAACACACAACATAGAAAAATAAAGACAGAGCAACACGAACCCAACAAAAACGGGGGGTGATCTCAGGTGCTCCGCAAGGGTAAGCAGATCCTGCTCCACAAGTGGCACCCGTCGTGTTGCTCATGTTAGTACAAACCCGGTAATAAGTCTAATTCGGTAGGTCACATTCGGAGAAAGGGAACGGGATTGTAGTTACGACATTAGGAACATATCCGCTATCATCAGTGAAACGGATATTCCAAAACGGTCAACCAACTCGTGATGGCGTCCGTAACATTTACGAAGGAATGATTTCAACTGCACCACTTGTAACTCTTGGTTTAATAGCTTCATTAGGAGCAGCAACCCTCTATCAAGGAAATCATGATAGGAAATACAAGGGAGTATCGTATCAACTGGGAGATATATACTTCGTATGCAGGCGCTGCTGGAATGTTGCTACATAGAAATGGAAAGTTCACAATTGGGAAGCTGAAATCATCTCTTTTGTCGTAAAGTTTTGTTTTCAACCGACCCTCATTTTCAATTTCTAGATGTAAGTCAAGATATGAGACAGACTTAACTGTATATGTTGTATCCTTTATCTCAAGTTCGATGGGACAGATGCGTCCAACATAGTCACCAAATTGTGAATTATTTAGTGAGAGAACATCATCTATATAGCGGAAAGTAACCTTAAAGGATACTGCTAACTTCTTTTCTTTCCTACAAACTTCATGGACGAGTTTGATCAAGAATGGTGTTCCAGAACTTTAAGCCTGCTTATTTTATTCGGGTGACCATCCCGTCCTGCAATTAGACAAAGTGGATCGTACTTAAAACGAGATGGAAGTACTATGAATGGAATTGACGTACTTGGAACGTAATAGGCACACGTTCTATGACGTGGTGTAGTCGGTCAGTTAATTAGATATACGTGCGCAAACTGGCTGAGTCCGTTTGTAGCACGTTCATCCCATTCACACACAGACCCAACTCGATCTCATTACGTCGTTATTGCGTCTTAAGCATGTTTAGGTCATTAATATACGAGCAAAACAAATTAACAAATTCTGAACAAGTAAGCAACACGTTTCAGTTCAAAACGTTGGCAGTAGGTTCTTGGTACGCTCTACTCGTTTGAGTACGTTTATAGCGTTTTTATGCCGTTCTTAAAACCCGCACCCTGTCTGCAGTACAATCAGACACGGTTTGGTGTAAACAGAGGCCGTTTTCTCACTGGTTCATCATTTGGTTATATGCCCAGACACATGGATAATCTTGCAGCTCTGGGGGGAAAGGAAGTGTCTTCAGTGAACGTGATTACAGTTCTATTTTGTATAGAAGGGAAATAAAATACATATTATACATGTTATAGTAACATATTTATTTTCATGCTGTACTTCATCTTATAACAATGAAAACGAATATCAATATACTATCATAAGTATCAAACGGAACAACAAACAATCCCTAACCATGTCACCATTTTCAATATTACCATTTTAAAAACACAAGATATGTAATAACCAGCACATTTGAAAAATATATGGAAAGCGGCAAACGATAATGAGGAATGACAGAAACGTGCTGGGTTTTTATAGCCGTCAGTCCATGACGTGATGGCAATTACGTGCTGAACGCAATAGGGACGAGATTAGGACGTGACCAGAACAAGTTAAGCTGTGAACGAGGTGATGAAGTAAGAAAATAGTAAGAACGGATTTCGGTATGAAAGGAACGAAGTAGAATTAGTTACAAAGCGCTTTAAACTGACTACAGACGGGCTTAGGATGCTTGGAAACGATGTCCTCGTGAGGTGAATGGGCAATTTTACGCGATCTGAACTGGATATAAACTGACTGTAGACGGGATAAAGACGTGATGGACATTTTGAGAACTGTTTAAGAACTAACCAGGATCGCATTATAGAAATTGTCCGTCCAAAGCTACTCGTTCTAACCAGACCATAACCCATGTTACGTATTTTTAAGGACTGGTTTTGATGTTAAGAGAACTATTTTGGTGTGACTGAGACTTTGCCGAGTATGAAATCTTGCGTGTTAGGATTTGTTTATATAAGATGTTATTGCAATTCAATAGTTAACAAATAGTCAATGTTCCAGAACTCCGACAAGAGTTGTTAAATCATACTGAAGCTATAGTTGGATGGAAGACATATGATGGCTTTTAATCATACATACAGTATAAAGAACACTTCTTACCAAACGGCCCTAGTAGAGTTGCATCCATACCATGTCACAAAAGTGTGTAACAAACTTACGAATGTACGGACCGATAGTATTAACATGTGTTCCTTTGCAAGGGCGACGTGAACAATAAAGATAGTTGCGGGATGTTTATCAAAGAGACACTTGCATATTGAAATTGATTCCAGTTTAGCATTTGAAACTATTCCATTCACGTGAGTCTTCTTTTGAACATATATGTCAGTTTTCAATGAAAAGCAAACGCAACAATATCGCCCTCTTTCCCCTATCTGCATTTTACTGGAAATATAAATATTGCTGACTTATCAAACAAATATTATTTCATAGCAGCATTGAGTTTGTTTATTGAAGAGGACCAACAATTTTTGGGGAAACGTTTGCCACGAATGTGATGTTCGTGTAACGATAACAAATTACTACCAAAGATGCAAGACCGGATTGGACGAAAGGTTACGCCAATCCACACTCAGTAAAGATTTTACAATGATCAGGAATATGTTACAACCGGCTAAAATTTACAGTTAAGCTGACCATTTTCTTTTAATTCAAGATTGAAGTGTGCGAAAACATGTCGCTTTTTAGTACAGTCACAGACACATCGTACAGATCAACAAATTGGTGATGGTGACCGTAAAACTATGAAACATCGATCTCGGTCGTTATTTTTCATACCTCTGCTGGAAAAAAAATTGGTGAAGTCAATAAAGTGTAACATGCACGAGCGAAACGTAATATTTGAGATATGGAAACGCCATACGATAGCAAAACTTAGATGGTACATTTAAAAAATTAGAAGTTGACGATGAGAATCATGAAGTTTGTCAAATAAATGTTAGTTTAAAGTTGTATATGTATATCTGTGTCAATGCTACCAAAGAACATCATCCTTCATGTAGGCAGTGATATCGTATTCGCATCATTCAAGTACAACACGTTGATACTAATATATTTTACTAGCAATTAACTATAGGTTCCAGCAAGTACGTTTATGCTAAAAAATGCGGCAATTATAATTCCCTTATTTTTTTTTTATTTTTCTTCATAATGCTCCATGTATAAAGGTTCCTTACATGTGGCCAAACAAGTTCCTGGCAAATTCAAAAGATTACGGATCAAGCCCCATGATGAAGGTTCCGCACGTTTATAACTTAATGTAAAAATGAGGTTTCATCATGATGACAAAAGCAATTCGAAAATTAAACAATAAGCAGACAGTTCTATAAGTTATAGCTCCAAGAAATACATAAAGGAAATTAATACAAAATCAAATTCTATTTCATAGGAGTTACTTCTCAGCAACACTTGAAAATGTATGTATTTCGTAATATATGTAGTATTGTTAGTATTTAGTGAAGGTACAGTGGATGTCGAGAACTTTTTTTACATTTTGCAATTTTTATAGGGACTGGTGAATTTCTTTCCTAAAACTCGAGTAATAAAAACAGCACAGCTTTTGAGTATTTATAGTTTGCTTAAATATACTACAAATACAGTTAGCTGCACTTAATACTTTGACACAGTAGGTTTTGAACTATGAGAAATGCGAAAAAGGATAAGAACTGCACAAATAGTGAATACCTTCAAGATTATATGATACAATGAATCTTATGGTTTTTTTTTATCAGAAATTTTTAAAAATATTTTATGCCTACAACTAATGGCCTCAACTATGTGTTAATACAGTCAACATTACAAATATAGCCTCGGCTGTTTTCAAAGACAGCATATATGCTTCGCTGATTTGTACGAATTTAACCATCTAAATTACGCTGGATTCATGTTGTCTAATCGTAAGTTTTCTGCTCAGTTTTACTGATTATTATTTGGTCTTTCCGTATTTTTTTTTAGTGAGTAGATTGTCTTTTCGTACTTTTCTTTGACATGGTGTGTTTTTCAAATTACTTGATTTATGACTTTTGATAGTTCACTTGGTGTCATCTAATGAAACAATAGCATTTCAATTTGTTAATAAAAGTAACCTTTGAATATAGACAAATAACAAAGGAACATTTAAGATGATTTCAGTAAATCGATCTACAATGTATATCGGACCTTTGTCAACACTGGTTTGTTTATGAGTAGTCACACATGTGATACGTTGGTGTACCTTTCTTAAACAAAATGCTATAGTTTGTGTTTACGAAGTATTGTGACAAAATCATATTTTGCAATTAATTGATAGAGCCCATTGTATAGGGTTGATTAGAGTAACAATTTTTTTTTTGCACCAGGCTACCCTACGGAACTCTCTAATTTTTGTAAGACCGAACAGTGCAGACATCGTTATACACTCCATATACAATTCATCATATTTAATCTTCTAATTGATAATCTTATTTGAACCATTCATCAGTAATGGTCATACAAGTTTGTCTGACTTACCCCATCCCTTGATGACTTTATGGAAGAATTAGAGTCAACAGTTTTTTTGAAACGATTTAATGGAAGGAATTTCACCATGGATTCCATTTTCACCCTAAGCACTTTTTTTGCGTATCTGGCAAAACAAAATGTGTCGGAAAATACATTTGAAATATTGAAATAAGTCAAACATTGTTCTTTTTTGTATTCTACCTTCTTTATTCGGTTTGTTAAACTTGCGCCACATACACAAAATCGATAAACCATTCTTTATGCATGTTTTTATAAACATTCGCTTTTCGTATACGTATGATTTTTTCTTTTCTACTGTTGATATCGAAATGGCTTCAACACTGATCACTAAGTTGACTCTTAAATGAACTGTGATGTAAAAGGTAATTGTAATATTGGCAAATAAAACATAATATCAAGATACTTTAGAAATCGTACTATATGCCAAACTCTTAATCATCCCAAGTTAGAAACGCATTCCTTTAAGTGCATGAACTGTTCATATATTTGTTTTTCCTGAAAGAAATAAAAATATTATTACATTTTAATTTTGTATATAAATACGAAATTCAAAATTTAATGTTTCAACATTACGTGTATACGTTGAATTAAACAATTGCGTATTAATAAAAACAAGTACTACTTGAGGAGAGTTTTACGAAAAAAGTAATACTTGAGGAGAGTTTTAAGATCAACTACTTGATTGAATACAAACGATCGGTTTTTCCGTTCTTGTGTTAGAGGTATTTCACGTAAAAGGCTATAATTTGAATTGATATTGTTTCTAATCTTCTTCTCGTACTAAAATGTCTTTGTTAAAATATTACCTCTCCTGGTCACGTTTTTGTCGTAACAATGACTTTGCAATACTTATGTATTTATAATGCATTCCGTAAGCAATAATTTCAACATGCATTGTATTCATGAATTTTAACATTTGTGACAACTTTTGCATAAAATGCATAAATGCTCATATTATCAGTTTTACTATATATATTTCTACCTTCAGTTGTAGCGTTTGTAATGTTCTTAGTAAATCGATCATCCAGTGTTGCTTCCGATGTAACAAACCAATGTGTAGCGATTGTTCTTAACGACACAAAAATGAAGCACTCCACGTCACGAACACCTTTAAACTTGGTGATTTGAGAATAGCAGATATCAATTCATTACGCGGTGGCAGATTTGTTATTGTCGATGATTGTTTTAATTTCCTGGTCAGCTGTAATATGACAGATCAGCAGGAGATATTGCAGTTGCCTGGCCAACCATGGTGTATCGCTGTTTTGGACAATACTTCCGTTGCCGTTACTTTGCCTTGGGAGAAGCGGATCTTAATTGTCCAAGTATTGCGAGATTTAACATTAACAATTTTGCAGGAAATAAGTACAAGTGAGCGATATTTTGGAATTGATTTGATACAAGAACATCTTTTGGTCGTTAGTTGTGAAAGCGATGAACTGATAGTATTGGATACTTTAGGGGAAATGCAATTTTCTGTAAAAATCGATTCCATTCCTTATTACTTCTGTACCGACAGTAAACATGTGTTTTATACTGACAACGTAAACAATAGCGTGGTCTGTTTCGATACATCAGAAAACAAAATGTTTCAAATTGTTAATCCATTCATGGAAGGACCAGATGGAATAACAACTGACGACTATGGACACTTACTAGTTATATGTACACAGTCTCACAACATATTAAAAATCAATCCTGATGACCAAAATGTTGAAGTTTTGTGCACTTTGGGATTGCATGAGTTTGATCTATCATGTGTACCACATATATGTTATGATCCAGTGGTTAAATCTATCTTATTTGGCATGAAGAACACTGTCGATTTTTTTTGCAAGCAGTAATGTTTGAAATCTTTCTTTTGTTGATTAGATACACCTTTTGAAATATGATTTGTATTGTTTTGATAAATATTACTGTTGATTGTCATTTCTCGTTCAAAAAATTAGTGTAATGCTTTATAAGGCATTCGAATATAGTTATCGCTTAATAGTATGTCCATTGTTGGATACTCACTGAACTGTGAATGGAGCAAAGTGACAATGTCCACATTTCTTCTTCAAAAAACGTTACAAATACGTCATTTATGTATGCCGACGGACACAAATTTACAATGAATTTAAATTCACAGGTTTTTTTTCAAATTTTTTAATTAAAAAAATAACTTCCTGTTTTTTCGACTACACAACTGAACCTGTATTTAAGGACATCAAACCCATTGTTTATCTTCCCTTAATTAAGGCTAAATGCTAATGAAAATATGTGTGTCAACTTCAATCTAAATAAAATATAATGTAATTTATCTGAGAATTGAAAATCAAACCAACGCCATCAAAATGAATTTATATCTAGACGCCATCACAATTTCTTCGGCAACAGACGAGTGCCAGCATATAATGTAAGCTCTAAATCGGTCAAACAACCCTTAAAAGATCGCAGTATAATCGTAATGAATTAAAAATGTTGCATAGGTCTCATCGTGAAAAGCTTACCTTGCATTTACCGCACTCACAATAAGTAAATGTTTGAAGATTTATTGAAAGTAGATATTAAGAACTAAATAATCAAACGATTTTACAACAACTATGCACATCTCTATGTCATAATATTGTAATACAGTGCTATACATTGTTGTTGAAGATGATAATGATACAATTTGCCAAATATAAAATGTGCTTGAAACATATCGCATCGAAAGACATCGTTATCTATGAATAATTAGTCTGTCACTTACAGACAATATTTCTGATTACAGTGTGTTGTTCTCGTCCATTTTTCCCCGGTGGGGAAATAAATAGTTATGATTTTTGACGATTAGTTGTGTCCATAAAATTCAAAGGAGTAGACCCGGTAAGACCCCTTTTGGGGCCCAAAATAGAGCATCTTTACAAATTTGTTAAAAATGTAAACTTTCAGCTATTATTGAAAAGAAGAATACTTTTGTTACATAAATATGGGCTGTTTTTTACAATACGGTGCACATGCATCAGATACAAGCATCATTAATGCATACAGAATAATTGAAATCTTCACAATTTTAGCATTTGTGCTCATTTGTAGACGGTCTGGTTTTAAAAAAGAAGTGGCCGCACGTGTGTTCAGTCTTAGTATTTATATATATGTTGCAGTTGATGATAATACATAGCATATGTAATGATTGAAACTGAACACGAATGCGGCCACTTACATTTTGGACAAAAACCGTCTGAAAAATTAAGTTTTATGGCATATTTGATAGGCTTTGCAGATTCAAGCTTGCATTTTAGCGTCTTTAATGTCCAAATCAGTTCAAATTTTTTACAGAAACTTATTGAATCGACTGAAGTAGACACTTAAGTGTTTAACAAATTTAAAAAATCTTTCATCAGATGCACTTCAAATTTTAGGCCAAAGTTAGCCCTTACCGGACCTTCTCCTTTACTTGTGCTGATTGTTGATATCATTAAATGTAACGCATGTGGTCAAACAATGCAACTCGATCCGTGTTGATTTATTGGTTGCAAGAACTACTTACGACCTCCGGAGCATCTTCAACCTGATTTTATATTACGGTCACTAAACACGCACATTGAGTAAAATGATAATCATAGTGATTTTCTTCTTAAGTGCTATAATGTAAGCAGACATGAATAAGAACATAGTATGCCATGAATTCCTTTCAGAATATATAAAGTACGTTTAACATGCTTTCAAAAAAGTGGGGCCAATGATTGAAACGGTAATATTATATTGTTTAAAATGTTTTTGTCCGTATTTGTACCTGTATTGTTTTTGTTATTTAGTATACCCAGTTTGTTTGGTAGTAAACATATATTGTTCTGTACTTTTTGTACGAGAGTAAAGAAAATGGTAAGGTATAAAAATAGTAGCTCCCCTTTTTTTAATATTTAATTATATACGAATATTGAAAAATGAACTCTCGATGTATTTTCTTCCTTATTTTGCAGGGTCTCCTGTGAATTGATCGAAACCCCCATTTTATGTCTGCGGTTTTACTGCTGTTTCATTTTCCATCGATTACGAAATGTGTATACGCATCGTGCGACCTTTGTGTTTTTTTTTGCTACTCTTTACCTCGATTTGCACTATTGATAGCAAATTAATTTAATTGTTCTGCAAAACCACTTGTGAGTTTTGCTGCTGACCATCTCCATACTTAAACATTGACATGCTATCGTTTTACCCGGGTTTAATATTGGATATCATTAAGTTCAATGGCATGAAAACAAAAAGAGAAAATAAAAACCGAAAGTTAACAAAAATACAAAAGATTCAATTGATTTCAGTGGTGACCTTTTGGAGACAATAAGATCGTTTGATTTTCGTTTGATATTCTTAGTTTATTTGTTCGACTTTCTTGATTACCTTCAACATGTGCAACACCATATCGATGTTACAACCCAGCCAAATATATTTTCAGTTTAGTTATTATTGAAAGTTAATGTAAAACATATTCTTGTTTTCTAAAGTTTAAGGAACACAAACATATTGATGTGAATTAGTCAGAGCTTGTAACCAGGAAGCCCGCAACATACAGATACTTCGTATACTCATCAGCATTTCGATTGAAAGTACTAAAATATGTGCACGATATATGTAGTTGAGAATCAAATAATAAATTCAAAAAAAAAATCTTTGTAGTTTGATAAGTTTTAGTTACAATATTGAATTACCTTCTATTCCATCTGCGACTGTTTGTGTGTTTTGATCTGATACAGCATGATATAGAAAAAGAAAATTGGTTTTGAACGTCCTTCCATTTTAAAAAGATCTGTTTTCTACATGTTCTAGTTCTTAAAATGAATTAATATCTAAACGAAAATAGCACTTTATTATTTTAAGTGCGTTGGCAGTTTTTTTTTTGTACCTTCATAAAGGAACTCTCAAACCCAATTATTTGTAAACCAAGAATGTATAAAGTAAAATTACAAAAATACCGAACTTCAAGTAAAATTCAAAACGGAAAGACCATTACCAAATGACAAAATCAAACGCTCAAACCCATCATACGAATGGAAAACAACTGTAACACCTAAAAACTTGAAGTTGAATGCATAATGAAGGCAGACTGAATCACTATTTCTTATTGTTCTATAAACCTGATAAACAAGTTCCTGCACACAAGAAAGCGCTCTTACACAAACGCAATTAAAACTTAACATTTTAATATCATATCACTGCAAAAATTGTTTTTAATACATCATGTATATCGGAAAATGACATCTTTATCATGTGTGTTTTCTTGTATGTATTTTGTGCTGTGCCACTACTGTTCAAGTAATGGGGCGGTGTTGGCTGCCCGAAAACATGTTTTAATCAGCAATATTATGTAAATGTCTGTCCCACATATCAGGAGCCTCTTAATTCAGTGGTTGTCTGTTGTTTTGTACAAAAATCCAAGCTGTTTTCTAGTTTGAATCGGTGCTTTGTATAGCTGGCTATGCACAATTGGTGTTGTTCACTGTTGAAGGCCGTACGGTGAACTACAGTTGTTAAATTCTATGTAATTTGGTCTCTGGTGCAAAGTTGTCCGATTGGCAATCATACCACATCTTCTTATCTTTTATATTTTATACTGTTACAATTTGCAATTGTGAAGTAATCTATTTTGTTAAATACTCTGAATGGAAATTTTTCAGCAAATAGAATAATATATACTGCAGCTGAGTTATTTGCTCAATCAAATTGCATTGACCGTATAATCATTTGTGGTATATAGTCACTGACCGTATATCGCCTTGTTTTCGACGTTGACAATGCGTTTCCGTAGAGTTTATTGATGACGTCATTAAAAGGTACAGCTTCGTGGAATATTTACGTCGTTCGCTCTAAATTAAAAAAATGATGGGTTTTACTCTAAATATTTCATTTGGAACAGTTGTAGTTGGAACAAATTGTATTTGCACTCGGCTCAAACAGGATAGAAGTGCTCGGCAAAGCCTCGCTTTCTACCTGTTTATAAGCCTTGTACAAATAAAATTTATATTTCGAGACAATGTATGGTTATTCTATATCTAACTAAATGTTTTTTGTCACGACTTTACATCGTTTTTTTTTTGTTCTAGAATATGTATTATACGCAAGCTGATCAATATTAAACATGTAAGAATCAAATTTATTTCTTGTGATTACAAGAATAAATCAGCATGGTAGATGGAGACCAATAACACAGCATATTAATATAAAAAAACATCTGTGATTGGTTAACCCAAAAATGATTGATCTTCCGAATGAGTAAATGCCTTCTGCATATCAACCTAACATATGCAAATACAATTATTGTACTTTAAACTTCAACTCCGAAGACTCAGCTAATGTTGATTAAATAGATTGGTTTCTGGTCACTGAAAATAATCACATTTTGCGAAGGTCAAGAATAATAATTCGAGATCGGAAGATAAAATCAAAGTTCTGTTCAGTAATAAGTAAAAGACATTTTTTTACTTGTTCGTTGAAAAGAAGATATAGAGCAAATAAAAAAAAAACAAAAAACAAAAACTGGAACCCAGCAGTATAAAGATCCAGGGAGTAATTATTTATCTTTTTCAGAGTGTTTTGTCTGATTGCTCAGTTGCTATGATCTTATCTAGTTATATTAAAATGTTAGTGTCTAAAATTGAGGACGGCTCATCGATCTTTGGATTTAAAGATATTGCATCATCTATGCTTTATTAAACACTGACATTTTCATTGGACAAAACATAATATTGTCAGGAAAAAAGCTGGTATCTACATTAAAATGTGTTGACATTTAGATGTTGTTTGAATTTTTGTCATCAAGCTGTTTACTTTGTGTCTTGTTTCATTAACGCGGAGACAGCAACAGATACCAAAGGGACATTCAAACTCATAAGTCGAAATTAAACTGACAACGCCATGGCAAAAAAAAGGACCAAAAGACAAACAAAAGTAGACAATACACATTAGAAAACAAGAAAGACCGATCAACACGAATTCAACCAAAATCCGATGGTATATCAGGTGTTCCGAAAGAGTAAGAAGTCCCTGCTCCATATGTGGCACCCGTCGTGTTGCTCATGTAAGTACAAACCCGGTGACGAGTATAATTTGGTAGCTTATATCCGAGGAAAATTTGAAGGGATTGTAGTTACAACAATTGGGACATATCTCTCGTCATTGTGGAACAACTCGTGAAGTCATCCGCTACATT